TGGATGATTTTGATTGGCCCGATTTCCTTTGAAAGCGGTCCTCAAGATAAAAAAAGGTCCTGGTGTAGAATATGTGTAGAATGTTTCCTATGCGCGGGCACCGCGCGCGTGCCAAAACAGCTTGAGTTTTGGGACCTTTTTGGCGCGCGGAAGCGCGCGCATAGTAAACATTCTAGTTCTGGACCCCTTTTACTCTGAGGAAACCTTCAAAGGAAATGTTGTTTGTTTTTAATTGCTTTCAGTATCAATGAATTGTATTGATAGCTTTGGAGTGCTTTGTTGGGGGATGGGGGGCCTCTACAAATCCCAAACATGGGTCAAAGAACAAGTGGTGAGGGGTCCATCCCAAGCCCTTTCCCCTGCACCAATCCCAAAAAACCATCCCAAACCCCCAAAAAAATGCTTGGATCTGATACTCTAAAGAACCCTAGGTTGGGATTTTGTAGAAACCTTCACTGGCCTTGAACCCGTGTTTTGGATTTTGTAGTGGCCACTCTGGGGCCTAAGTTCAAGAAACACGATAAAATACCACAAGAGAGTGGCGGAACACTTAAATATAGCTGAATAGTACGTTTTATGTGTGTTTTTCCCGTGGTGTTTGTTGGTATGTGGATGTGTTAAACTGTTATGATGTGTTTATCTGTAATTACTTGCAATCATTTGGGTGCATTTGGGTAATGTTGGCACTTTTTGATGGCTTTGAATACCAATGACTGGTTTTGAATTAGAATCATAGGATTGAATTGGGATGCTTTGGCGGGGGATGGGGATCTCTACAAAATCCCAAACATGGGTTAAAGAATAGTGATACCTCTACAAAATCCCAAACTGGTCCCATTTCAAGTGGGTCCATCACCGTTCTTAACCCATGTTTGGGATTTTGTGGAGGCCCCCATCCCCCACCAAAGCACTGCCAAAGCACTCCAGTGTTACTCAAAGCGATTAAAAAACCAACACCATTTCCTTTAAAAGGTGTCCTCAAGGTAAACGGGGGTTCCTGAACTGAACTGAAATGGTCCGAAAAAAACATACAGCCACAACAACAGCAGCAGCAACAACAAACAACAAACAACACACAACAAACAACATACAGCAACAACAAACAACATACAGCAACAACAAACAACATACAACAACAACAACAACAACAAAAACAACAAACAACAACAAACAACAACAAACAACAACAAACAACAACCAACAAACAACAACCAACAAACAACAACCAACAAACAACAACCAACAACAACAACAACAACACCAATAAGAACAAGAACAAAAAGAACAAGAAGAAACAATAATAACAACAACAACAGCAACAACAACCACAGCAACACCAATAAGAACAAAAACAAAAAGAACAATAAAAAAAACAACAACAACAACCACAGCAACAACAACAACAACAGCAACAACAACAACGACAACAACAACAACAACCACAACAACAACAACAAGAACAACAAGAGTAACAAGAACAACAAGAACAATAACAACAAGAACAACAAGAACAAAAACAACAATAACAAGAACTACAAGAACAAGAACACAAACAAGAACAACAACATCAACAACAACAACAACAGCAACAACAACATCACCATCATCAACAACAACTGTTGTAAATCAATTGCAAAAACTTGTGTGCAGGAAGTTCACTTGGCATGTTTGCAGAACATGTTTGGTCAACATTCCTTTTGTTTGAACGTGAATGAACGGCTTTGAAGTATTTTGAGTTCATTTGTTTTTGGTTTTTAGGGTCTCTACAAAATCCCAGGGTACCTTAAACAATTACCACTCTACAAAATCCTGGTTCTCTACAAAATCCTAAACAGGGATCCCTTAAGTGCACCCTAAAAAAGTACCCTTTAAAACCTCTACAAAATCCTAAACTTTAGGGACACTAAAAAAAGCTCTACTACAAAATCCCTTTGTACAACCGCCAGCGGTTGGGATATTGAAGAGGAAACTCGTGGGGGTATTGTATATATATATATGCGTGTAAAATATATGAATATATGTACATATGGTATATATTCATGTTTATATATATATATAAACGCCTCCACCCGTGATTTTTTTCAACACTTCAAGTCGATTTACACTTGTGATGTTTTGTGCCGACATGGTACTGGGATCCAAATGGGTCCGATGGCATTCCACGCTCCAGGTGAGGTGGTCGATACCTCTTTTTTGTCCCCAAACATATGGAACAGCCGTGCCAGCCAAATAAAAGAACAATAAATGGAATGACATGGAATAACCCATGTAGTAAAGAGAATAATGTAGTAATCTGAGATTTTTTTTCTGAGAATCAAACCATGGGAGAATCCCCCATCAATTGTGTTTCCCATTGAAACCTCCATTTAGTTCGGGGATTTCCCAGCGGCCAAGTTTGAGGGCACAGTTCGGGAAATGGGATGCCCAGCACGTGAAATAGACTACTCCATATATGTTTGCCTGCGGCGCAACTGAGGCTGAGGGCAAAACTGACTTGAATGATTAAGGAAAGAAAAGGATCGAATTCTTATCTATACATGTATGTGTATGCACATAAATACATACATACATACATACATTACATTACATTACATTACATTACATTACATTACATTACATACATACATACATACATACATGCATGCATGCATGCATACATACATACATTACATACATACATTACATACATACATTACATACATACATTACATACATACATTACATACATACATTACATACATACAATTACATACATACAATTACATACATACATTACATACATACATACATCACATACATACATTACATACATACATACATACATACATACATACATACATACATACATACATACATACATACATACATACATACATACATACATACATACATACATACATACATACATACATACATACATACATACATACATACATACATACATACATACATACATACATACATACATACATACATACATACATACATACATACATTACATACATTACATACATTACATACATTACATACATTACATACATTACATACATTACATACATTACATACATTACATACATTACATACATTACATACATTACATACATTACATACATTACATACATTACATACATTACATACATTACATACATTACATACACATACATACATACATACATCATACATACATACATACATTACATACATTACATACATTACATACATTACATACATTACATACATTACATACATTACATACATTACATACATTACATACATTACATACATTACATACATTACATACATACATACATTACATACATTACATACATTACATACATTACATACATTACATACATTACATACATTACATACATTACATACATTACATACCTTACATTACATACATTACATACATTACATACATTACATACATTACATACATTACATACATTACATACATTACATACATTACATACATTACATACATTACATACATTACATACATTACATACATTACATACATTACATACATTACATACATTACATACATTACATACATTACATACATTACATACATTACATACATTACATACATTACATACATTACATACGTTACATTACATACATTACATACATTACATACGTTACATACATTACATACATTACATACATTACTACATTACATACATTACATACATTACATACATTACATACATTACATACATTACATACATTACATACATTACATACATTACATACATTACATACATTACATACATTACATACATTACATACATTACATACATACATACATACATACATACATACATACATACATTACAAATTACATTACCATTACATACATTACATGCATACATACATGCATACAGCATACATGCATTACGAATACATGCATTACTGCATTACATGCTAGTTCTTCAAAGAAGGAAACCATAAAGTTAAGGTTAAAATGCGAAAGAAAGGAAATACATGGAAATAAATTTAAATACAGTGACATAAAGGAAAGAAATGAAAGAAAGAAAGGACAGTACATACAAGGAAAGAAATGAACATACAGTAAATACAGGAAATACATTAAATTACAATACATTACATTACAGAAATTACATAAAGTACATACATAAATACATGTACATTACATTACATACATACATACAGACAGAAATAATAAAATAAATACATACATAAATTAAAGTACATGAAATTACATTAAATTACTTACATTACATTAAATTTACATTACATTACACATTACACATTACATGACATTACATACATTTACATACATTTACATACATTTACATACATTTACATACATTTACATACATACATTTACATACATACATTACATACATTTACATACATTTACATACATTTACATACATTTACATACATTTACATACATTTACATACATTTAAATGCATTTACATGCATTTACATGCATTTACATGCATTTACATGCATTTACATGCATTTACATGCATTTACATGCATTTACATGCATTACAACAGGACAGACAGGACAGACGGACAGACAGGGACAGACAGGACAGACAGAGGACAGATCATGGACAGACAGGATCAAAAGAAAGACAGGACAGACAGGACAGACAGGACAGGGACAGGACAGGACAGGAAGACAGAAAGACAGACCAAAGGACCAGACCGGGACCAGACAGAACAGGGGACAGACCCAGACAGACCGAAGACCAGACAGACAGAAAGACCAGACAGACAGACAGACAGACAGGACGACAGACAGACAGACAGACATGAACAGACAGGACATTACATACATACATACATACTACATACATACATACATACATACATACATACATACATACATACATACATACATTACATACATTACATACATTACATACATTACATACATTACATACATATATATATATACAGAGAGAGAGAGTTACATGTGCAAGTAGATCATAGAAAAGGACCTCATGCAAATTTCATCCACAAAATGACAGATGACCTCAGCTCCGTTGCGGACGACCAGCTACGTCCTTTTGGATCCTTTCGGTCGCGGCTCAGATGCTGATCACATTGGCACACCGGAGCGTTTTGCTCATCAAGAGGCATGGTTTGGACCGCCTGCTTTTTACCTCAAAAAACCGTTGCCATTGCAACTTGGATAACTTGGGCATGGGCTGCTTGTCAAAGGTGTTTTTGTTTCCCCACGAAATAAAAAAAAAAAAACCCAGCGAATGAACATTGCCATGGCATAACATGGCCATGCCTAAAAAGGTACATCATGCACTTTCAGGGGCCACGGCAACCGTACAAACTGTTACATCACCAGAGAAGGTCAACCGTTCAAATTATTGAATTTGTGTAGGATTAGGCTCCGTTCCACTCTGGCCTACGGAATCCCACGGTGCTACTCTTCAACACACTTCTTCCTATATAATGGAATTGGGAAAGCCCCAACTTCCATGGTTTGGGGGGGTAAGAATGAAATATGGTCCCCAAAATAAAGCACGCCGACTTGCCAAGTGCATCGCAACGTGGAAACCCAACTTGGTGAGTAGCGATGGTGAACGGAGGGATGGAGGGAGCGACTGGAGCCATGGTTGTATAATGAATCCATGTCCCACTAAAAATTGGGGAGCCAAGGAGCTAAAAAGTGGAGTTACCAAGCAAAATCATGGATTTAAATGGATTTCACTGATTTAACATGATTTAAGCCATATCGAAACCATATCGACAATTATCGACATATATCAACCCGCTTCATCCCACGTTCACCCCCTCCACTTTCTTATCCTTTTCTATCCTTTTCATTGTCGTTACCTAGGCACGCCTTCAAAGTCCTGGGCCACTTGAAACATCTCTTCCTGCTGTCGGCTCTCCATCTGCTTCCGTCGTTTCTCGATCTGCTCCTCCAACTCTTCCTCCAGGCGACCAATGACACGAAAGAACAACCTATTGACTTGGCGAAGTTACCCTCTGGTATTTTAACATAGCTATTGAAAATATACAATTTATAGTTGATTTACCTATTCAAAATTGTGCTGTTCAATAGCTATGTTAGTTTACCAGAGGGTAGTTCACAAGTCCAATAGAATATGAGCCTATGTCCACGTGTACATGATAGATATGACATGATATAACCATAAAAACATGACATGGTACCCCAGAAATCGACAGACACGCGGGTCCCACGTCCCAAACGTCCCACCCCCATCCCACGGCCAGACCGTCTCCAGCCCGTGGCCCGGTCCGGAAAGTGTTCCACATGCTGCACAAAAACCTGACGGGAAAACGGCACGACATGGCGATGTCCTGCTTGAGGCAAAACACGATCTTTTGGGCCCTTGGAGGGTCTATGAAATGCCCAAAAGAATGCTGAAAAGTGTTCTCAGGTTGATGATATGACTGAACGAATCTGTCCAAGCTTAATCACTTAGAATTGGTTGTATGTGGGTCTTAACCCCTCAAAATTCATTTCAATTCCTGAAGAGATAATATGATATAAATTGATATAACGTATTCATAAACTTTCTCAAACATGGATCCAAAAATGAAAGTCCTAAAAAATCTACCCTCTGGTAAACTAACAGTTTGCTTTTGAAAATGGCCCAGTCGAAATAGTGGATTTACCCATTAAAAATGGTGATGTTTGATAGTTATGTTAGTTTACCAGATGGTAAAAAAAGGTTCAACAAACATCTTCAGATTTTCGGCTTTGCAAGGCCAGGCCATGCACCGCCTGCATCTTTTCAGAGAACGAGATCGCCCGCTCTGAGGAGCCGTAGCCGTCCGCCACGCGGTCGGACAACCAGGGCCGCTGCCAGCCGCAGCTTGGGTTGGAGGACCTGACGTTGGCACGGCACTGGGGGACGCTGGGGATGGGTAGGCTGTGGGGATTTGAATTGCCTAAATAAATAAATATATATATATACACATGTTGGACATTGTTTGACTCTGTCTGACATTGCACAACTAAAAATAAGGGGTTTAGCAATGAAACACCCAAACACATATTAAAAAGAAAAAACAACAACATACTGACAACATATGATGATAATAATCTGATATCCCTGGCTCCAAACGCTCCAACATCTACAGTGAACATCCAGGGGCTAACCTTCCCGGCGTCAGAACGTCCCAGCTACTTGGAGCATGATGAAGGAATGTCGGACACCCAGCCCTGCATGGCACCTGGCCCGGGGATGGTCAGCTTCGGTCATGAAGTTTGTAATTAGGAACTGGAGCTGCGGAACTGGGATACATTCCCTTTAACTTCAGCCCTGCACATGTATTAATACATACATATATATGTATAAAATTATATATATATATATAATTATACTATATATATATATATATGTGTGTGTGTGTCTGCGCATTTCATGTGCTATAACTTGGGATCCACTTACGCATCTAAACATGTCTAGCAACAGTAGCAGCAACAACAACAACAACGACAACAACAACAACAGCAAGAACAAGAACAAGAAGAAGCAGGAAAAGCATAGTAACATTAACAAGAAGAACTACCACAACATCCACAACAACCAAAGCAATAGGGATGAATCTTGGTGATTTCTTGACAGTGCTTTCATCCATTCACAATCAGATTTCATCTGGCACCTAACCCAATTTCGGAAGGTCAAATAGGAAATAAGGATGCATCTTAACCATGTGGGAATGTCACGTCTGAAAACAGGGGATCCGAGAATTGCATTATCCATCGATCCAAGAATTGGATGAAGGGAACATCAGCGGGAAACCCCGCCCTACAGTTATGGCCCGAAATACCAGTTATAAGTACGAATAGAAAACCCCATTTATAGAATGTATAATCCCATAGAAATAACCAGTTATAAGTAATAGCCATGGCCTTAACATGCCTTAACTGTAATGGTGAAAACATGTAAAGTCCTGTCTCTCCCGAGGGGCTCCTGTGAAGGCGAGGCTTCACGGGTGCCCGGCTGTGCCAAATGGCTCCGGTTCGAAGAATGACACTGGAGTTCACTTACATACATCTTACACACACAAACATATATGTGTATATACAGTATATATATATGATGTGTGTACATGTGCTATATTATAGATAAATTCTTGATATATATATATATATATATATTGTTTCAAAAATGTATAATGTTAGAAATAATCATAAATAATTATATATATATAAAATTAAACATAGTTAAAACTAATTATATATAGTTATATAATTATAGTTATATAGGACTGTTTATAATTATGCATAGTTATATATAATATATATAAAACTATATAGCTAGATATAATTAGATATGAATAGTTCTAATTATGTATAACTATAATTAAGAATATAATTACTTGTTTAAATATGTATGATCAATAAACATCAAGTCGCAAGTCGCTTACTTTTGCTTGGCCGTTGCCGTTGTCGGCAACTGTAGCTGGTATACCGCCAACTCCTGCTGCTTAAATCCACCGTTGTTGACCCGACCATCCTCGCGTTGATAAAATGACCAGTGCAGCTGGCTGACTTTCAAGTTATTGTTAAATTCCCGTTTGAATTGGTTCAATTCCATTTTAATTTGCTCAAATTCTAAAAATTAGCTGGTGAAATTCCATTAAACTTTCCATTTTGCGGGTGAAATGAGCATTTTTCTGCGTGAACACCCATGGATTTTCCTTCATTTTCCTTCCACCAATGACCTAAAACAGTCACACCCCTTGGCAGCCCGGCGAGTCTCTTTGATGGATCCCGGGCTTCCTAGCGGAGTGTTCCTGAGCTCATTGTTGCATCGATTTTTGCTGGGACTTCAGCAACAAAAAATGGGGATCTCGTCATGAAAAAATGTATTTAACTATATGTGAAATTATTTAAACATAAGATGTAAATTTACCCTGGGGTAAACATAAAATATCATAAAATGTTGAAAACCCATGGGGAAACCGGGCAATTATCTACAAATGATGGGTTTGCCATATCTGTTGGACAGTTTACAGGGTGGTTCACTGGTCCATCCCGCTGAATAGGTAAAGTTATAACCCCCGTTAGTTCACTGGAAGTAGAGCTAGTCCAGTTATGACAAGGTAAACTAACTCATGTACCTGGGGTGAGCCACCAATTATCCAAACAAATTGAGCATGTACATGAATAAGTGAGGCTAGTATAGGCTAGTAAATATGTTACACTAATTCGTTACCACCCTCAGGCCCTGGGTAGATTAACAGTGATCACGTTTCGCCTCCGCTGTGCGTCCGGACGTGGGTGGCGTATCTGTGGCGTCCAGGGAAAATCGTTTTCCCATCACCTGCGAGAAAAGCCCCCAGGGTTGGGACAATCCGCAAAAACTTGGAGAAACCATGTTTTATATGATTGGATACGGATATGGTATATATATATGTATATATATATAAATAGTTATCCTATTTGGGCAATCACTATGCAAAAACTCTCAAAGATAAACTTCTCCCAAGTATGCACGCGGGGAACCTCATAGTACCCTCAAGTATTTGAGAGCCTCAAAGTGGCAATTATGGATAATTTTGGTAAAGTGCCTAGTGCCAGCAATTGTTGAGTTTGCCAAAATTGATTTGGTAAATTCATATTCAATAATGTCCCGATGGGAGCAATAAACCTCCCTTGAATTTATCGGAAGTCAACTTCGCCCGAGGCTGGCAAAACCCCTGAATGAAGTATGCCAGCGTCGGGGGTGATGTTTTGGTGGTAGATTTTTGGATTGGATTTTCTGGGAATGTGGTCAATGCAAATGTGGGTCAGTTCTGGAAATTTGTTCAGCAACACTTGTCTATTAAATAAAAACATGCGTAATTGTTTTCAGCTGGATTTTTCACATGTAATTACAGGACGTGTTTTCAAGCAGGCAGTTTGTCAGCAAATACAAAGAATCTCTTGCATGTCCCGATGGGGAGGGGAGCGAGCTCATTGCGTCGCTAGGTGTAAAATAATGATGTAGTTTGACCATACTTGACCATGTGTGCTAGGATCAAAACATAGCACGTGGTGTATGGTCATCCATCCCATATATATATATATATATATGATGGAAATGAAAACATCGTGGGCACATGGATTGATGACTATGTCCCAATATGGGTACATAATGGTACATATATCATCCAACTTCTGACTCAGTCGTTGACATGAATATCCCATCAAATCCCCACTGTTTGATTAATGGCCACATCCAATCTTGGATGGTCAAATAATTTCAGATCATTATTTTACATGATTACATCACCATTTCTGAATGAGCAAAACTTGCCATTGTTTGATGGCTATGAACATGGCACCGCTTTGATCTTCTGGTGGCGTTCGCAAATATTCACCGCACCTCCCCTCCTGCATCTGCATTACCTTCAGCGGCCTCTTTTGTGTAACCTAAGAAAGTTGGAAGCAGAACCACAAAAATTTGGCGTTTCAATCATCAAAAACTGGGGGTGTTCTCCAACACATTGGATCTAGAGCAATCAAAGAATGAGGTTATATGAGACTATATGTAACACATTGGGTTTAAGCAACCAAGAATTTGCGGTTCGATTCTTCAAACATAGGCGGTGAGCAATCAACAATTGCGATTTCATCCATTGAAGCAATGGCGGTAGGCAATGGAAACCTCGGGGTCTAACTATCAAATACAGTCTGTTTCAAGAGTTCGCAACAATCGAGTTTGAAGCCTCCAAAATGTGGGTCTTAACCGCAACCAACATGTTTTGACCATCAAACACTATGTTTTTTCTCATCAAAATGATGAACCCAACAAGGATGGAAAAGAAAAGAGTGCACTGCTTAGGTTACTACTCGAAAAGCAGCATGAAACAACTGAGGATTCTTCGGCCACACCAGAAAAGGGGCCTTCAACTATCATTGGAAGAAAAATGCGATTCAACCCAAGGGAATTGGGACGCATATACGAGCTATGGTCATTTCACCAAGTGTTTTACTATTTTTCAAAAACAAGATGCGGAGACTCAAACAAAATCAAAATCGGGGACTTCAACTTCAATTCAACCCAAGAATTATATGATTTCAGATGATTTGAGCCAAGAGAAATGAAGGTGGTGGTTATCAAAACGATACCATGTTGCAAGATTCATGGTGAAGTTGAGTGATTGGGATGAGCGTGCTGTCTTCAGGGTCTTCAAATAGGTAGGGATGTACAGCACTAAGCGTAGAGAATACATGACAAAGAGAAACTTGCCCTGCAGAAATAGGAAGTTATATATATATATATGTATATGTATACATAGTACATACCTCCATTTGTTGGCAACCAAGTATAGTAAACCCCCAACAAGTATAAGCAATTTAATTATTTTAGTGACTATAGTAGTGGGATTTTACTTTTCAATCTTTTTGGTGCTTGCTATTCCAGCGTGGCAGTGACTCCCTTCGAAATGGCGCCATGTCACAGTGACTGCTTTCGACACCTTCGGAGCAAAGTAGCCTGGCTGGTGGTTGAGCCACCCCCTGAAAAATATGCGAAAATCAGTAAAGACCCTCCTCCCAGGTAGAAAACGATAGATGTTTCAAACCACCCAAACAAATTCATCATTGCCTATATGCCCACTATATACCCATATCACTTAGATGCTTAAATCCCAGCAATTATCGAATTGATTAAATACCCGTCATTCCAAGCCACCAACCAGACTGACCAGACGACGGGAAAGATTGGAAGGAAATCCTAATCCTTAACCTAAGGTTTTTGCCACAGTTTCTGTATTTTTTTTTGCTGTGGCACTTCCAAGACATCAAGATCTGAAACCTCCCAAAAGATGGTGAAAAATTGGAAGCCATGTCTCGATATGTTTCGGACAAGCTTTGCAAGGAGACTTTCTGAACTGGTTCCCAAGAATCGTTTGTAAAACACGTGGGAATGTATGTAGCCACCAAACCACTTGTCTTCTGGCAGTGTTGAGACCCCAGCAATTCCCAACAACAACAAATTGTTAAGATGTTATCTTTTCCAAGGCTGGTGATTGGATCTTCGTCAAAAATTAACGAACCCTCCCAGAGGCCTAACTGTAGCTGCAACGACTTACCCGGTGCTGTAGTCATGACTGCAACTGTATGTCATAACAGTAAGAACAAAACATGTTCCGATATCTTGCAGATAAGAATGGTGATACGAAACATGATCGTCAGATAACATAGCATAACCTGCAATAATGATAGTAACAGTACCTAGGCCTCCAAGTTACCAGCAAAAGTGTTGAAAAATAAAGAAGCAAAATCATAGCTCTCCCTCTCTCTCCCTCTTTTGCCAACAAGTTCTTGGTACTTGGAGGGCCCAGGTAATGACAACAAATGATAACAAAGAGTGATAGAACCTTGATCAACTTAGTAGCCACTCTTCGCCCAGACTCCCGGAGTCCCCACCTTTTTCTGAGAATCTGTGGGAGCTGTGAGTCACCACCTGAAGGCCAGCTGCATGCCAAATAGGGGTTGGCAAACTCGTGTCGTCTGAACCTGGTGATTGGTTGGGAAACCAGGGGAAAACTATGTCAACTGGGCAAATGGTCATCTGGTAATCAGGCCAAATGAAAACACATTGAGAATGTTCACAGAAAAAGGTAAGATAGAAAAGGATAGACACAAACAACCACCGGGGCCACACAACTTTGATATTTTAGCCGTCACCGCCGAACAAAGAATATGGCCCACAAACTGCCCTAATCATGCGATACACCAGTGCCTGTAAGTGGCTATTTCATGTATATAAGTATATATATATACATACATGTTTCTCTCCCTCTCTCTCTCCATCACCATCTTGTTGCCCTTCATATTATTGTGGATACTAATAGCAACACTTATTGTTGTGATTGTTGTTGTTACCGTTGTTGCTATCAGTGTCAATATTGCTATGATTGCTAAATTATTAATGGCATTATTGTTATTACTGTTGTTTAGCGACTACATACATAATCCAGCTTATATCTGGGGGGCACCAGCATTGT